CCCCTGAGATCCCTAAACCCACAACCTAACATTAGACCCAAAGCCCTAGCTAAACCAAAACAAAAAAGCTCGAAGACATGCACACCTTGTTCCAAGTCCTCTGTTAAAGTTTAAAGACCCTAAGTTTTACCTGCAAAACCCTACATCCTAAACCTTGCACCCGAAACCGTAAGGCCCTTAGCCCAGTTTTGAGGCGCGCCTGTAGCGTGCAGTCCTTCTTCGTAGCGGCTGTGGCGATGGAAGGGTCCCAGCACCACTGAGGCGGATCCATTTACAGTTCAGGGTTTAATGTGTTGAGGTTTCAGGGTATCCCAACGCCCTGACATGTAAACCCTAAGCCCGAAACCATGAACCCTAAACCTTAATCTGTGAACCCTAAACCATATATGCCCTAAACCCCTAAACCCTAAACCCTAAACCCTAACCCTAAACCCTAAACCCTAAACCCAAGCCCTAAACAGAACCCTGTTGAACCCTAAACCCTAAGCCCTAAACCTTAAACCCTGTGCTTTGGGCTTAAAGCTCTTGGATCCTGCGCTCCCTCTCTCGAAACCCCCGGACCTTGGAAGCATCCCTTTGTTGCCTTTAAAGAACCCTGAACGGAACCCTGTAGCGAACCCTCAAAAAGACCCTTTAAAGAAGCCTTCATGGAAGATGTTTTGGGCGTTTGGGGTTTCGGATTGAAGGGTTTAGAGCTCCGGCGCCAAAAACCCGGGAGCTCAGAATGGTCCAGATGCAGGGTCTAGGGTTTACTGTACTGGGAGGATTGTGGGACTTAGTAAGTAATGCTCATAAGTCCCTTAGTTGGGGTTATGAGTATAGTTACCACAGTTATAACCCTACTTACTAAGTCCCATTGGGGTTTCCGAAAATAGGGGACCCTAATATAGTACCCTAAATAGTAGGATCCATATTATAAGGACCCCAAAATAAGGTACCCCAAATTTTCGGAAACTCCCAGTTAGCATTCCCTGCTTCTGCAGAATGCCATCACTCCAGCCGGCGTCTCTTGCAACAGAATATTCAATGACCAGGTGGCATGCGTCCTCAGCTCATCAGGCGGCTGGACGAACCTACAATACTATGCTTGACTTGTCGTTCACGTCAGCGTCTGCTGGCTCCTTGAACTCGCCGCTGTAAAGAACTAAGCGCTTTCGGAGCTTCTGAGCCTGCGCATGAGCCCTTGCAAGCCCTTGCCTCGCGCAGACAATCTCCAATGGAGCGCCCGTTGGCAAGAGACGTTATCCGCCCATTCATGGATGGTGTGGGGTCTGATGACTGGCAAGTTGCTCTCAAGTGGTGTGATAAGCCCATCGTTGGGTCCAAAGTCCAGGGGCCACCGCTGCTGTTGAGGGCAGCACGCAAAAAAAAAAACGCAAGAAAGAGAGAGAGAGAGAGAGAGAGAGGGCACTCAGTAAGTAAGACAGTCCGAAGAGCCACCTTTTCCGGGGCCGGGATCACGAAATCCAGACGGGATCAACCGGACGCACGAGGAGCAAAAGAAAAGAGAGCCAAGAGCGGCGGCCTAGGGCGCCCCAGGCAGAGTTTGGGGTTTAGGCTTTAGGGTTTAGGGTTTAGGGCTTTGGGTCTAGAGGTT